AATTCCCATTACGAAGACCAGTATTTCAGATAAGACTTGTGGCCTTGAAAACGTAAGTAGCTATACTGGGAAATTAACTAGCATAAAAATAAGGAATAGTAGGGTGCAGGCCGTCACCTTCAAAAATAACGAAAAAGTCCTTCTAGAGCATTGATGCTTCTATGATAAAAATTTTTACTCTTATTTAATCAATGAAGTTGCATTGTTTAAAAAATTTGTTTTTCAGAGGAGAGAACATCAGTAAAAGCTTAAGAGGCAATGTAAATTGAATTCTATACATTATAAAGCTCAAATTCTTAATATGGTTAAGTGTTGGAGGGAGGGAGTCAGTATTAAGTCAGGATGCGTTCAGCTGTCTCTGTTTTGAGCAATATACACATCTTAAGATTGCAAATCTATGTAGGACTGAAGATACCTAGTCGAGGTTTCCTCAAAGTTAGTAGTCTCAAGCTAGAGGAATCTTGATCGTTCGGATTTGTATGTAAATGCTTTCCGCCTAAAACCGATACATGCCTTCAGAGCTGGATTTTCAAGGATGGGTAGCAGTCTCTCCAGTAGCTTTTGAAAGCAAGGCTACTGAACGTATGTATTTATATGCTTGAATTCAAATATCATTCTGTGAACTATGGTAAGGGAAGAGGTAGGTTGTGCATGAAGTATTGTTTGGATGCTGTGCCGTGGATGCCCTGTTGTGTCTGAAGGATTGTGGAAGGGAGCTGAAGGTGACAGCATGAGAACACTGAAATTCAGCATTTGTAAACAAAGTGAAATATATGCATAGAAGTGTTTAACTGGGGGGGAAAAAAGGCTATTCTGAACAATATTCTGTATTTTTGCCATAATCTTCATTAAAAGATGCGAATATGGACTTTATCCTGTAATTAAACATATCAGTGAATATTTTCAGAATCATGGGCATTTGGTGGATCTTCTACCCTAGTATTTGAGAATTGAGCTACTTAGCTGAGGCACTGTTTCCTGTAAGTTTGAGTAAGGGACCCTCAAGTCAAAGGTGTTAATATGTTTGTGTTACCTTACAATTTAAAAGTTATACAAGGTTTTAAGCAGAAAAATTCAGGCATGCATTGTCCTATAGCTGAATGACTAGAAAACGTATACCAAATTTGGGAAATGTAGGGTTTAGAACACATAAGATAATTTTAATTAAACAGAAGCATTAAAGCATTTTGAAACTGGAATTAACTGATTATGCCAGAATGGGGAAAAAATCAAACTACAAGCCTCTGCTAGAGAGGATATTTAATTTAGTCTCTATTCTAGGCAGCCCCATGGTAGTGGATAAGGAAAGGTCACCTCTGTTAAATCTTTCTGGAAGACTTAGTTTTTAAATCCTAAACTTTTTGAGGCATGTTTCTATGTACTGTACTCTAAAATCCACAGTGACTACTTTATCTTCTTGGTAAGATTGTACGTAACAGATCTTGCATACCTGCTGTACTGGTCTGCACTGGGTCTGTGGATGTATTTCTGTAATCAGTGTTGCATATCCAGGTTATAGTGCCTTGGTTTTCACTTTGCCTTTATTTAGAGGTCCTTGATTTGGGCAGAAACATACCTTATATACTTCATTGCTCTTCTATTCCCGTTTTTCTTCCATATGTATTTCCGCTTAATTTCCCTGTTCATAATGTGTTTTCCTCAAGAGAATCCAGACTTTTTTCATGCCTGCTTTGTTATTGCTACATACGCCAGACCCTTAATATTAAAGATGCAACATTTTTTAATATTTAAGATTCTACATTTAACTTTGTGGTTATATGCTGTTTTGCACAATAGTTGTCATTGTTCCTTTGTTAGAACAGTGCTAACATACTGTCAGTACTTGATTGTTGCTTGTCTTCTCATTTAGGCTTCAGTTCTGGAAAACCTGAGACTGGCAGTACGATCTCAGCTTGGATTTACCTCAATCAGACTTCCTATTGCTGGCAGATCAAGTAACATTTGGAATCGAATTTTTAATTTTGCAAGGTCACGTCATTCTGGATCATTGGCATTGGTCTCAGCGGATGGAGATGATGTTGCCAGCCAAAGTACTAGCAGAGAAGCTGAAAGAAATAATACTCACAGAAGTCTATTTTCAGTTGAATCTGATGATACAGACACAGAAAATGAAAGAAGAGACACAGCAGGAGCAGTTGGTGGTGTTGCTGCCACCTTGCCTCAGAAAGTCCCACCTGCAACAGCAATAGAAGCAACAGTTGGAGCATGTGGGAGTTCCTCTGCTCAGAGTGGCAGTAGCAGTAACACGGATAGTGGAAGAGAAGTGACGAGTGTAGAGCCCCCAAGCACAAGTCCCGCACGTCATCAGCTCACTAGCGCGCTAAGTCGTATGACTCAAGGCTTACGCTGGGTACGCTTTACTTTAGGGAGATCAAGCTCAGTGAATCAGAACCAAAGTCCTTTGAGACAGCTTGATAATGGGGTAAGTGGAAGAGAAGAGGATGATGATGTTGAAATGTTAATTCCAGTCTCTGATGTAGCATCAGACTTTGACATGAATGACTGTTCAAGACCTCTACTTGATCTCAGCTCAGATCAAGGACCAGGGCTTAGACAGCCTTACAGTGCAACACATCACGGTGTAAGGTCGTGCAGTCGAGATGGCCCCTGTGAGAGCTGTGGCATCGTACACACTGCCCAGATACCCGACACTTGCTTAGAAGCAACAGTGAAAAATGAAACTAGTGATGATGAGGCATTATTACTCTGCTAGGTACGGTTTGCTTAGGAAAGATTGTGTACAAGTTGGAGCAATATCTGTCATTGTTTTGTACTTCACAGTTAAAACTAGTTTTTAGTTTTAAAAAAATCCAGGACAACATTACGTTAAAACTATTTTAGCCTGTGTGGTTGATTAAACATTTCTTATACTGGATGATGTTACGGAACTATTAGAGTGAACATTGTAATGGCTCTGAATACACGGTGTGTGTATCCAGTATAATCTGATTAGTCTTTAAACTGAAGTTATCCCACTTAGTTTCAAATTTAGTTTATCCCGGTACTGTAGTTCAAACCAGAAACATGGCTGCTCAAGACTTACTTGGCTGCCTGTTTAACCCCATATTAACAGGTGAATTTGTACAGAATTATTTTCCTTTAGGAATTGACTCTGTTGTATTATTGCCAACATACTTGTAACTTAATATACTAAATACTGGTAAGGATTGTTAATGTAAAATATGTACTTTTCTTTGAGTTTATACAACACTTTGTCTAAATATTCTTGAATTTCATCATAATGTGAACTTATTTAAAGGGAGGAGAAACTTTCTCCAGGAGCATTCTTTTTCTTTCAGAAGTACAAAATGCAATGATTTGTGAAATTTAGATATAATAGATAAACTGATGGCAAAAGCTTTTATAGCACTGACTTTCCTAAACTGCAATCTAATATGGTACAGCCAAATAGTATGTAAAATCCCCAGTCATTAGTCTTTCCGATTTGAAGTAAAAAAGGGCCGAAGATATTACAATATGTGTTGGTTCTTTAAATATCCGATACGTACAAATACACTACAGAATAA